TTCAGGTTGACTTCAAGATTTCGATCTTAAACTGCAGTAACACGATCTTTATTCGATTGTTTAATATAAAATGAAACATAAGACTTAAATTCGAATATAGGTACCTATAGGAGATAAAAGCAAATATTAAAGGTTTATCATTGGCCAAAATAATGTGTTCGGAACGCCATATATTTATTGTCAAATAAATATATATTACAGATGCCGCATTCATTTTGATATCATGTAAAATTGTAGTTTATGACTTGTGTTACGTAAACAAGAGAACACAACAGTTACTCGGCAATATAGTAGGAAGAGATCGACAATGTAGTACTCAGTTTTCACCAGGTATTATATGACTTATTTGAAACAGTACGAGCCTATTCATAATTCAATTCCAACATCATCAAAGGCAAACCTATTTACTCAACCCGATATTTTGGTTTCAGAAAATGATTTTTAATATGATACGTCGGCAAACGAGCAGACGTATTATCCAATGGTAAGCAATCTGCGCCGCCCATGGACACCTTGCACCTTGGATCCAAACGAAAAACAAAAAAGGTTCAGAAGAAAGAACAGGGTGGTTTTTGGTTCGTAAGAGATGCTGCGGCTTTCTGTGGCTGAAGAAGCGTAATGTAATACAGGAGGCTTTTTCCCAATCAAAAAAATAAAGAACACGTTTACCATAGTAGACTTACAGTGTATACAGAAACAGGCCAATTTAAATGCTAAACACTATTTTATGTGATGAGACCCCTAACAGGCAGTTAATAAAATGAAACATAAATATTAACGGACAATTAATTAGTTTAAAACACTTTTAACTGAATTTATGGAGTAATTAAGCTTCAAGCATGTTGTATCAGATATAATTTACGACATGTTCTTGCAAAATGATAGAAAGACTAGTTTTTTTTCGATGTATTAATATACAAAAATAAAATTATACGAGTTGATAAAATCTTTATTTACTTATGCACCCAAATCGCTTTTGTATACCCAAAATGCAAAAAGAAAATAATAGATTAGATACCTTAACCACTGGGCAGAAATCATTGAAAAATAGATTTCGACGAATATTATGTTTTGTAAAGAAATTAGAATAAAATTATTATTTTTAAGAGTATAACTGTTATAGGAAGATGACATACTGAGATATGTAGTTATAGACAATCATTTGGAAAAATAATATGGATTGATAGGTGATAGTAGGGTAATTCGGTTTTGCATAACTGCTGACATTTTACACAAACCGCATACAAATTACATTGAATTGAAGATTAATTACATAAAGAATGACCTGTGAATCACTATCGTACTAAGGGTAACTATCTTAATTTTTAAAATCAATGAGTCACCGCGGCCTCGCTCCAGAGCAGGAGGAGGAACGGGGATTTTTAGTCAGTAAGAGTCTGACACTCTCTCTCGCCTTACCCTGGACGGGAGAAGTCATTTGATGATTTTCCCCTGACAAAAAAATGGTACCTAAAATATTTATGAACGTAAACAGTCTTTCTTACTCAGTTGTTTTATACTCAACATATGTATAAAATTTTCATACAATAATACTTTGAGGTCTTACTGAGTAATGAACGCCATTTTCTTTTCTCGTCTCGAGCAGAAATTAGAACAAAATTAACTTTTTTTTTCACACTGAATTATTTTGTCTCTGGTGGCGAGAAAGACCTTGTTTGTCTTCTTTTCTTTTTTTCTCTTAAAAAGTAAATGTCAAACAACAACAACAACGAAACAGTAAAAGTTTTGTAGTGACCCATTCATTAATCTTTTACGTAAAGAAAAGCGACAGTAATTAAGCGATTAACGATACTTTGGCCTCCGTAAAAAAACTTAATGAAGAACAATTTGTTTCTCTTCAGAATGATGTTTTTTTTATTAACAGTCTCTTTTTGCGTATTTCCCTGCTATAAATTTGTGAATGAGAGTTTGTCGTTGGTTTGGCGCCACTGTCGAATTGAGTTACGTCAAATTAGTTGCTGTCACTATTTTTGTCACGAGATGGGATCGATCAATTGTTTTTGATTAGGTTGTCAATACTGTTTCTAAGCGCTGCCCATAAAAAATATCTAGAAAGAGATATTTTTTGCTTCAAAAAATTGAACAAGCCCGGATCGTATAGTACCTATACGATACACGACCGGGTGATCCGCGATGCCTGACCTATTAGAGTTAGAATCGCGCACCCCGTGATTAGGCTAGTTATATGTTCAGGGTTTTTTGGCGTAACAAAATCCAAGATGTAACAGTTCGCCAAAGGATAAGAGTTTGAAACATAGTTTTTCAAAATTTGCTGAAGCTGGAGTGGCAATGGGCAGGTAGTGTTACCCGAAACATTAGCGAGCATTTGGTTCGAAAAGTGTTTGAGTAGCGGCCATGCTCCAGGAGACGTAACGTGAGCTATGTGGACCGAAATCTTTATAGTTGCGGATAGTCAATAATTAATGCTAGTGGCAAGTTGTACTTTGACGAAGAGACTAGGAGGACGTCAGACAGTTGACGTGTGGCTAATGATGATAGTTTTAATATGATGGTACTGCAAACCATCTATTGGATAACCCATGAACTACCGCAACACCCGAGGAGCTACAGGTACGTTGCCGGTCTTTTGGAAATTAGAGTTGTGGAGATTTAGTGATTGGAAAGGACTGGTGGAGGTTAAAAAGGGTTGGTAAGATAATGATGAAGTCGAGAGATTCCCTGAAGAGCCTTCAGTTACCTAAACATAAAAATAAGTAGACAAAAATAAATCTTACAGCTCACGTAACAAAAGCTCCACTTTATACATCAGCGTGTAATCAACAATAGTGCATTTAAACAAATCTACTTACGAATTCTTTTCCAGTTTCTACTGAATTAATATTAATATTGCCACTTAAAATCCAGTTAAGTAAGTAACGAACCAAATAACGAAACGAAATATTTTAGGCTCAAACCGAATACGTAATCGGAATTAATTTCCGTAGGATTTCGCCGCCTACGATGAAAGAAATGATGCGGTAATTCGACATTTCGTCACACCTCGCACAATTTAATTTAAAATATATTACCGAATTATACAGACGGCTGACTTTTATGAGTTTTTGGTCAAGTCCTTAGGTACTGTTATATTAGCTCAATGTACTCGTCCAAAATATATTTTATTACCAGTACCTATTAATAATAATATATTTGTGGTAAATAGTATTGTGGGTAATTTAAAATAGATTTTCATTACAATTTAATTAAAAGTCCAAAAATTTCGTTCTTAAAAATGTTATAAATTTAAATATATTTAACCTTCTTTTAGTCTGGTTTAAAAATGGAACCAAAATGTCAGCCTGTTATTGTGTAACTAAAATTTTAATCGCGTTGTTCGTCGTTATTTTCAATCGAGTGGCAGAGCCATATTTTCCGGTATAAATAGCTGGCGTGAAACAACTTTTAAATTATATTTTGCTATGTGAGTGAGGTTACCAGTGTCATTATCCTTTCAACCCCATCTCCAATCCTTAAATCCGTGTGCCTGCCTTATGTCCTTATGTGTGTGTGTGCCTTTATTGTTCCAGGTGCTCATGGGCGAAACCAATTGCTTGTCATCAGATAATACAACTCGTTTGCCACTCTATCTCATAAAAAATACTAGTTTCATTTCAATCCCCTATTATAATGACTCCAGAACAGATATTTGATTAGTGATTGGCGAAGTAGAAGAAAATACAATCAAAACATTTCGTTTGTAAGTAGTTTGTTTAAAAGTAAACATAGGTAATATTATTTTGGAATAATTGAAGTGATTTATTTTGTTTCCGTTTCAAGGTAAGTAATCAAAAATAAGGCCAAATTTAATTATTTAATTTTTAGTATACAGTACTCTGTATTACAAGACCATGGCCGCTTCACCGAAGGAATATGGGGCTACTCAGTTCCTCTCCATCTGAACCGTTGCCTTTACATGCCAGGGGCGATATCAACGCCGCCGGTCACTTCCCTAAAGTCATGTTGGTCCTCAGTAGTATTGGCAAACCTTCGAGGAACATTTCTGGTGAAAAGTGAATGTTGTCCAGTATATAAGAATCTCTGCCTACCTTTCGGACACCAAAGGATTTTATGTTTAGGTTGAGGGAACTTTATGTTGTGTATTCGAAAATATTTAAAATAGTTTCATACGTTTCTCATCGTCTCGGTTTGTCTAAAAGTGAGAGTGCAAAGAGCACATCCTGAGAATACATCTACGCACATAGAAAATCAAGTTGAAATAACAGATGATAAGTAGGACATTGAAACATGTTATTATCGTAGGCCATACAAAAACCACAAAAGAAACATTTTGTACCTTACACGAATAAACTACATTTGGCACTAAAGAAAATTTACACAAAATTAGATGTCAGTTTATATTCTAGATACAAAAGAGAATTACATCAGACTTCAAATCTAATACATTTACGTCAATTAGTTTACCCTACCTTGGCAGTAGTATATAATTAGAAAACAAAAAAAAACATTTCATTCTCGATTACCAACATGTATTGGATTAAAAAAGGTGAATAGAACTTTCTAGAAATGCGTCAGGTTGTATTCTAAAAAAGAATTGGATATATTTAAAGAGTAAAGATTTCACTTTATTTTGTAGCTCAGGCAGCAACCTGTCATTTCTTTAAAAGTCTATTCTTCCTTTTTGCAAACAAAATATTGAACAAATCTGTGTTTAATATGACGCAAGACCTATTATGCAGTTACACATATCATGCTGAATGAGCTTTAATTCAAGAATATTCGTAAACACACAGAAAAAAATGGATCAGATTTATGTTCAAAATTAATTTAGATTTGTACAGTGACAAATAATATAATGATCTATCACAAGATGGCTCTTGCGTCATACCTATTTAAAACGTCACACGATTATTGTGACAGCTGTCAAAATTGACATCTGTCATGTCACACAATTTGTCACTTTATTTTTGGTATTTAAATTGGTTCAACACGTCTCTTACTGATATAAATAAAATCTTAACCTAATACCTAATATTAAAATCTCCTATAGGTTGTTCTATTAATACTGTTTCGGTGGTGTCTGGTTGTGCTGGTGACGAAGATGGTAGGGCTGATGGTCGTAATGATATGGCTAGAGGTAGTGCTGATCTGGCACAGAGCTGGGATGCACCCCGCGTTGAGCCGGTTGAACGGTAGCGAGTACAGCGACCGCGTCTAAGAACAAAGATTAAGTGTTAAGACAATATAATTGCGTATCAAATGCTATGCTATTCAAGTTAGTTTAAGTGTCGGAGAGTCATGCTACGTCAGGAATGGGCCGGTTAGATCGGAGTATAACCATGGCCTCAAAGAAAACCTGCGCAAAAGAACCCCAGCGTTGTGTGTTCTCCGTGTGAATTGAGTAACTGGAGACCTTAATCGCTCTCCATCCTGTCTCCAATACCCAAAATCTCCAATACAAATAATCCTCTGATATTGTGAGTGTCAATAAGCGATGCTAATTGCTTACCATCAGATAATCTGATTATTAGTTTGCCGCCATATTATATATAAAGATATATAAGTGACAAGTAAGTTTTCTGCCACAATTATAAAATTAAGGTGTAAGTAATAAAAAACATTTTTCAAAGCTAAATAAAAAAATAGCAAAAATAAATAACCTTTTTCAGTGACGTTTAGATATGGTGGTAAAAAAAGTGATTTGATTTTCTTAAGCCCAACTGGACTGTATCTTAGAAAACGCCATTTATCTAATTTTGCCTGCCCCTATCATGTTTGGATCTTCTCATTAATATTCAGCGTGGTTTTAATCATGCACGGATTAATCATTGTTTTCTTAATTAAGCTCCTAGCGGGTTCACATAAGAATTATTGTCTCGTCTCTCGCAGAACGAAGATTTTATTGAAAACATTTTCTTTTGTGTACTTTTTTAATTAAAGGGTCTTGTGTATTTCTGTACGTAAGGTTAAGGTTTTATTTGTTTTATTTTTCTACTACATTTAAGGTTAGTGGTTTTGAATCAAAATTCTATTAAATAAGGATATATAATTATATGAATTATAATTTCATGGAATTATACATTATATAATTGTTTTGGTATTTTTAAGCTGAGTTTTTGTTTATCAAATAAGACTGTGTAAGAAACTAAGTGACAACCCTATTGATAGAAATCGGTCAAAGTCTTTGAAAAACTTGAAAGAATTTGCGATTTCTTCATAATCTGCTAATGCGGGTATTATAACAAACTTTTTTTATTGTTTTTTATATTACTTACTAAGGATTTACGGCTAGATAAGTCTGATACAAACATTTAAATAAAGTAGGCATAAAGTCAATAACGTGTTTATTTCTTTATATGGAAGGCCCATCACAGATTACAGTAATAAAGATGAGTGTGTAATTATTAAACCGTATGATTATAAACTTAATTATACACATAACAGTCCCACGAGATGAGAATCTCGTGCAAGCTGGAAGAGGATAAACAGGAAAATAATAATATATTGATAAGGCTCATGGGACAGTCGACATGTGGAAAGTAGACTCGGCTACCATTAGGCCCATAGTCGTATCTGCCAATAGGCTAAAGGCCAACTTATAACTGAGTGCGCTGTCGTTTGAGGATTATGTCTTGCAGAAATTATTAGAAAGTATAAAACGTAACTCAATTCAGGAAACAGACAGTAAAGTTCCTTAAGAACAAAAAAGGGGTACCCTATGACCAAGCGAGGTGGTCATTGCAGCTATCTCTTTACAAAATTATCAAAATAAAATTGCCGAACATTCGGATTTTTTTCTGCATTTACAAACATACAATTTCACATACACGTTAGACCCACAACAACAATTTGCGGATCACACAAAGGGTTGTTCCGTGTGGAAATCGAACGCGCTACGCTTTTGCTAGTTTCCTAGCCACCGCTCCAACCGTGTATTCGATTAATTATAATATATCATGTCGGTCTTCTAAAGCTTCTGGCCTTGTAATTAATTTGATTTTCTTTTTTGGATCAAAAAGTATGATATAAGTATATAAAATGTTGTTTCTACAACTGACTTAGTAAATAATATAGTCCAGTTTTGAAATTGCAACTGTCAACAAATACATCTGTAGAACAAACAACACAACATTCTTACGGTCATCCGCATAACAAACTGTTTTGGATAAGCGCCAGGAAAAACAGTTTTGTTAAAAAATCGTTAATGTAAAAATACAATTTTTAGCTTTAAATGTAAGTTATTTTTATGATTATTCTGACACTATTTGGAAGGTATTTAAGTTTTTAGTTAAATACAAGTTTTTTAGCGCTGTAGGTTGCACATAGGTATTGCTCGTGTATTGATCATGAATTCGACTACTGACCGAAATTCCTGGACTTCAGATTTAAAAGGTAAGATTTTCCTGGTAAGCTGTGGTTGCGGGGTAATCCTAATGAGGCACCATGGCCTTGGCCTAGAGCAGGAAAAGGAACGGAGAGTTTAGTCAGTAAGAGTCTGACACTCTGTCTGGCCTAACCTAGGCCAGAGAAGGCATTTGAAATTATCTGCTCACAAAAATAGGGTTGTCCTGGTAGTGGCAGATTTTATGTACCCATGTAATAAGGTTTACCTACTAACGTGACTAGTTGTAATTCTATATTGCTTGATTAAATATCGCACTTTCTGTAATGTGAATAAAGTCCATATCTCAATGTATGACGCATAATAATATTAGCATAATTTGCAATAACACTGAATCAACAGGATTACTAAATATTTCGGGCATTAAAACTTGGTTATTTTCATGAACCTTCGTATTACATCGTCATAAAATTATTTAAAACCATATTTTAAACGTATTACGTATTGAAGTCTACAACAGACATAAACATCAATAGTTATGGATGAATAATTACGGAAATTATAAATCTTGTATGTGTAAACAAAATAAGATAGTTTATAACCGTTTATGTACTCATAACAAGATTAATTTCATAATCATTTTGAGATAATGTTTCGAATTCGCTCGTAAAATAAAATTATGAAGCTAGATTCAATTTTCATATTAATCTAAAATTAATAATTTCTCCTTAATTTTTTAAGGTTTGTGCCCATAAAATAGTACGATACTATGTATTGTACTTTTCATAAAATACAGCATGTTTCTTTGGTTCCATGCAGAAAAAAAGTAAGTTAAAATTATAAAATGTGGTACTTACATTTTTTTCGTGTTTCTGGTTGTAGATAAAGATAAATCATCAAAATTCTGTAAACGTTATAGGTTTCGTAACTCCTGCTATGACGGAGCGTATATAGATTATGAGAACTGAATTATCGTAATATGTTGTTTGTATTTTATCTGTAAGTTATTTTTACAATTCTATAAAAATATTTTTTTCTATTATTTTAAATTACATTCTTTTTTTTGTGACACTACAAACTATTTATTGCATGTTGTGTATACCTTAAAGTTCTGTACTTTTAACTTAATTATCGTGGACTTAATGTTTAGATGTAACAAACGATCTAACAGCTTTTGGTTGTTAATAATTAAATAAATGAAATAAAATTAGAATGCATTTCCTATTGTATCTCATATACTGGCTGATAAAATAAATAGATATATTATATTATATAATAATAGTTACCTGGTACAATGACACCTCAGCAACCTGAGGAAGGCAGCTCTGAAGGTTCTGTTGAACACGGTGTAAATGATGGGGTTGATGGTGGAAGACACGTAACCCAACCACAGGCAGATGTCCACCACGTGCTCTGCAGAAAAATAATGATACTTGTTATATAGAATTTGTATGAAGTCATTATAAAGGTAGTTGTAAACTCCAAAACTGTAACATGGCTCCGTGAAAAATTGACCAAAATCGACAGATCCCAAAGCGATTTACCTAATTTTAGTAAACCAAACATGTTTAACAAATAAATGATTCTAATTCTGATTCTGATTCTTACCATTAAGTGACTGATAAATAAAGGTTAATAGTAAGAAAGAGACATAAGCTTTATGACGAACGACCTAGCTCTAACTAAGTATTTCGCTTTGTCAGTAAAGTTACCAGAAGTCCAATTCTTTCCTTCAAATTCCTTCTAATCCTCAATCAATAAATCCTCTTATCCTCAAATCGCAAAACTGCAAAAGGTCACCAATACACAGGCCTGCAAATCCTCTGGTATAGAAAGAAAGAAAGAAAGAATTTTATTTTATAAAATATTTTATAGCGGACAGCGCCTTACTAATCAAAAGGATAAAATTACCAGTAGAATTTTCCCACTATGTTGCTATTCGCCATTTCATTTTGATAACCATGAAAACTACTAGAAAGCAAAAAGCATGAACGAGTATAACTACTCGATTAAAGAAAAAATCAACTAAAGCATTCTGATATTATTGGCAAGCAAACAGCTCGTTCGTTTTTTGGCAGAGACATTGTATACCAAAAAATTTATATTTTGGCACAATAAATCTTGACTTGAACTTCAAACTTTTAACATTATTTTAAAACACTGGATATTAAATAACAAAAAATTTAATTCATTGGTGCAAAGTAAATTGTTCATCTACTAGTCAACCAGTTCAATTTAGCTTTTTGGTTTCATTAAATTTTAGCTATAATAGAGAGAACTTATTCCATTACATCCCTTACTTAGACCATTTGTTGATTGTACTTTTATAAACCTGATTAATTAAGTATTTTGTTAGATTATATTCTAATTTGACGACATAATATATACGACACAATAGTATTGATGACTTTTGCCCATTAAAATATCTTATTAATTCACATTTTATCAGAACCTTGACCGAAAATACATATACATGTAGCTATTTTGTACAGTCAGGGGTCAAAAATGCAATTACACTCTACTAATTTTAAAATTACTAAAATTTCTTTGTAGTAAAAGTTCAATGGTTCAAACGATATTTTGGTAATTTTAAAATTGGTAGAGTGCAATTGCATTTTTGACCCCTGACTGTACTTGTAAATTGAAAGTATAACAAACATGAAAACGTTCAATGTCACTGTATCCTCTTGGCACAAGTCTCGTGTTTTCCCGTATGCTTTACTAGCACATTTGCAAATGGAATATTCTGCAGTTCAATATTTTACAATTGTAACTTAGATTACTTCAAGAAGTAGTAAGGTTTGAACAATTGATTCAATAATAGACTACTCTATAGCATAGCATGCTACATTGATGTATCACAGTGAAATTATACACTCAATTGTAAGAACATCTCAGTAATTATTTTGGCAATTTTAAGTTGCAAAAACACTAAATTAGTGATGATCTCCTAATAACTTTTTGTGAGGGGAAAACCATCAATCGATTCTTTCATCCAAAGTGAAGCGAGAGGAATGGTCAGGTTCTCCTACTCCAGGTCAACTTTTATATAATTATTATTCTCCAAAAATGCCAATAAAGAACAAAATAATTCTCATGCAAATGATTAATAGCACTTACAATTTCGAACTGCAGAATCGCCACACAGTCAATTCAAACGAGGTATGATTTCAAGCACCCCTATTCACGCTCGGACACGATTAACTGCCAACCATAAATCAATTCTGACCTCGGCCATAACTTACCTGGAACTATACACCCTGGGCACGCAGCGAACAGTATATTGAGTAAGAAGAATGGCGCCCAACAGAGAACGAACGTGAAGAAAACGAGGCCTAAGACTTTGGTCGCTTTCTGCTCATTCGCGACTGCGTTTGCTGACAGCGATCTGCCTTTCTTGCGGTTTGCTAGGAATCTGGAACAAAATACATTATTACTTAAAATTTTGTAGAGTTGACGTTGACCTTGAAGATTTTGAAGAGAAGTTTCACCATAAAACATGGTATGTGGAAGGATGTGACAGATATTGTTTGCACAGGAAGTCAAGTCTTGTGCATCAGTATCAAAGAACAATAACAGTGCTACAGGATAACTTCTTAAATCTAATGATGGATTATAAAGGCAATTCGCATGTTTAGTAGAAAACAGATCTTACTTCTTATAATGGGTATTTAAAAATTAAACCTTATTGTTAAAATATAAATTTTAAGATTACAATACCTTATTTTTTTAGTTAGGTCGTTTTTCTATTAAGCCTACGAATTGTTGTTTCAAGTAAAGAATATGATAATATAAGGGCCGATAAAATAATACACTCTCAAGATCAATTATCCAGAATCATAACTTTACTAATCATAATATCAAAGTGAAAATCTTTTCATCTTATTATACAACAAGAAAGCATTAAATTTGTTTTTTGTTTATCCAAATTATCTACCTAAATTAGGCACAAAATGTTTGGCAAATAAACAATAAGGGTTCTTCAAAAGCTCTGTACAAATGAGGTCTTTATAAGGCCCTTAAGAAGGCGCAAATCTTTCAAACCTTTTTGTCCTTTTGATTGATGAGCCCTATTACCTTTTGATATTTTAAGTCCGACAGATTGGTTTGATTGGCACTTTCTATTGAACCATCAATAGACTTTCCAGATTAAGGGATATCGTTTTTACGGCCATTTATTTTGTTTTTTAACGACTGCGTCATTTTTTGCGAATGACATGTGAGATTTACTGGCTTATCTTTTTAATAGCCAGGTTTGTATTTTATCAGTGACAATTTATTTTATTGGTAATGGATCAACGTAGGTTGGCATGGTTATTTTTAAGAGCATTTATGCATCAAGGATTTCTATACTTCCGGTTTATAAACTTACCAGTTAGAAATTATGGACACTACTGAGCCGATTTTTACTTATTAGCTTAGTGCGTACGCGGAAACATGATAAAGTGAGCAAATAAAATGATTTTGGGTTTGTATGGAAAACTAAAACAACTGCCTCTATCTGTTTCTATCATCTTGAACTCTTTTGAAAAAATCGATATAATTATGCTTTTATACCTTCATTTTATTGCGTATAAGTACGTACTAAATTTCATCAATAACGGTTTACTAATTTGCAAACCGTTTGTTTAGATAAATATATTCGTAGCTTGTGATGCAAAACGTATATCAGACTACATAAGCACATATAAACGTCAAAAATATTTATTTAATTTATATACATACTAACAGAAGCTTCAGCTTTCAGCTTCAATCTTAAATAGGAAGTACCTATAATCCATTCCGAAAGAGTAGGATGGAACCATATTATAAATATTTCGTTGTCCTTTTCAAAACAGGTTATATTTTATGAATCGTTGCAGACAACATAACTGTGTTTCAAAAATAGAAACCAAGAGAGAAAGCAAGAGAAACCTCTTGCTCAGAGACGGTGACGCCACTTTTTTAAATGTTCATAATTGGGTTTTGAAGACCTTGATAAATATATTATTATACGTGTGATTCGCCTTGAGCAAACGTGGCTTTTTCGTGTGAAAAGAGGTCTTTGCTCAACAGTAGGCATTTATAGGCTGATCTTGATAATGATGATGATGAACAAGCTATTTATGCTACATGTAAAGTAACAAGTAATTTGACTTAAAAGAAGTTTTAAGATAGTAACTGTTTCATTGAAATATTTTTGCGACTAGCAGAGGACGACTAAAACAACAGTTCTTGGTGTCCCAAGAGAAAGTTACATAAAATAATGTAAAACAGACATTTTTATTCAGTTGCAGATTCATAAATATGCATTTACAATAGTTCTCGAGCGTGAAAATTCGTGGCTTTTTACATTGTAGCTGAATTTCAGTTTAAAATAGGTTATCTTGTCTCTTTGTGAACGTTTGAGGTTATTAAGGTATACTTTTAAACGAAGCGCTTTGGAAAATGCGGTCAGTGGAACGTAGGCACTTAAACAATTGACGGTAGGATTTTGTACCTTAACGACCTAGAAGAATTGTCGTTTACGAAATTATTCATAGTGAGTCATATAAATCCTGAATATTTTCTGATGAAAGACATTTATCTACTATATCTGTATCAAGTTTCACACAAATCGGTTCAGTAGTTTAAGCGTGAAGAAAAACATACAGACAGACAGATAGACAGAATTATTTTCGCATCTATAATATTAGTTTGGATTAAAATTTGATTAATATTGTTTGTACAGTTTTGTATGAAATAGGACGGCAAACAAGCAGACGAATTACCTGATGGTAAGCAACCGCCCATTGATACCCGCAACACCAAAAGAGTTACAAGTGCGTTGCTAGCCTTTAGGGGTTTAGTGTTTCGGATGTTTAAGGATTGCGAAAGAATGGGGGAGGGCAGGGATTGGGCCTCCGGTAAACTCACTTACACGGCGAAACACAATTCTGTAGTATATAGTATTATATCTACAAAATTATTTTAACAAATACATAACTAAAATATGTTATTAATAATCCCTCCAAAGCATTTTATCAAGCCAGCAAAACAGCTATACTAAAAATTAACGACGAATAAACGGGAACGCGTTCCATTACGTAAGCTCAAAGCGCACCTAATTTGAGTTTTAATGTTAAATCCGCAGTGTACTATAATCCTGCACATATTACACCAACTAACCGAAAAATAAGCGAATATTTAGGAAAATTTAAACCAAAGCTACGGCTAATTTGTACCAAAGTAATTAGTGGAACTCATCACGTTTATTAATCTGACATCTTTTTTTATCTTTGAAAAGAATTATTAGCTAAAAATGAGACGTCAAGACGTGTCTTTGTTTTCCGTTTAAAAATAATCTTGAGACTTTTTCTCGGTAGAGACATTGCGTAATATTTCATTATAACATTATCGTGGATTAATTAGTGTTGTTAGTCTATGATATCATAAAAAGAGAAAACTTTTAAGTAGTTTTTTAAATTTTATTTAAATTTAGAATGAATTATTTTTGCTTTTCAATACGATAAATTATTCAATTATAATCATCAATTTTATTTATTGATTTGACGATATATGTACTTAATATGATATTTTTCAGTAATTTTTTTAGGAGTAAATATGATATTATTCGACGAAAATACATTATGACGACATATACTTATATGTATTATTTTGCGATTACGCAGTGCCATTCATTTCGATTTCGTTTTGGTTATTTTTTTTCTTGAATGTTATTCTTGACTGTTTTTCTCTTACAGTGTAGCTAGCTACCTATACTGTTAGTATCTTATCTTGTGAATATATTGTGTTGTGACTAGCATAAATAAGTAGATACCTCCTTTTATACATAATACTCGACTCGGTCACTGATGTGTATATTATAAAATTTTATTTGTACTAAAGTAAGTTTTAAAGTTGAGAACAAAATCCGTCACTTTGAAAGTACAAGATACAAAAGTCCTTATATGGCAACGGGTGATGAGATTCTCAACAAAAGCGACCAATACAAAAAAGAACTAAATAACAATAGGTAAAATGTTTATTTATGCATGTATACCATTTCCTTTTGGAATTAAAATGTGTCATTATTTCACCAAAGTTAAAAATAAAGAGAAGCATTTAATATTTTCATTCGTAACATCTACATCTGCGAAATATACCAACTTCAGGAAACAGAAGTACTATCAGTTAAATGCGTGTTTGCATGACTGAATACTGACATTTAAATTTAACGTCTGCTGCGGTTAAAACATCTGACGGGATGTCAAAAATATCGAAATTTTTAATGAGAATAAAAGCAGTTTGTTTTTCAACTGGATCAGATACACTACACACGCTACACTTTGGAACGAGCACCTATGTAGTTTTACAGACGAAAAGACTGACTGACTTATGGTTTATTAGAAAAAAATACTCCACTTTTACTATCAGTTTACTTTTAATTGTGACTTTAAATAAAACAAACAGAGCAAAATTTATGACGTCAGCAAACATGTTCATCCCCATCACATAGATGGTTGGCAGTCAACAACTGTGCGATTCTCGCATAACTTTCTGCACCGCACAGTAAAGCTTTGGAATGATACGACCTTCAAACCTTCAAGAAACGAGCGTACTCCGTCTTAAAAGGCCGGCAACGCACCTGTGACCCCCCTGGTGTTGCGGATGTCCATGAGCGGCGCCGATCGCTTACCATCAGGTGATCCGTCTGCACGTTTGCCTCCTATTCCATAAAAAAAAACCGACCTCATATTTAATTAACTTGTCAGGTTAAGGTCTTTATATGAAAATTGTGAAACATGCCTCTAAAGAGAATCAGAATAAACACAGTTAAGTGTTTAGTATTACTAGCAAGACTGATATTACTTTTATCAAAAATAAAGCATTCTTAATCAATATAGAATTTTTACTTTGTTTCGTTAAAAAAAGATATATACTTTTGGATGCAATACATTTTCTTAAAATAATCACTCTTTTATTAGCCTCTTGTCTGCCGATTTATGAGGTACAATATAAAACACATGTCATACGTATATCTGCTCTAGCATAGGGGTAATTATTTTTTACCTATTGCTCAAGAAATAAGAATGTCGTTTGACCCAAAAACCGTGACGTCACAGTTAGAAATTAATTTAAATAATAGTTGACAATTCCCAACTAGGTACGTCACTAAAAAGAGGAAGCTTACGCTTATTGTTCGTCCGCTCGACCAGAACCAGACCCGAGCGTACGGCGCGTAGAGTTCCGCGCGCGCCTCAAAGAGCCAATAGACCACCACAGACGGGGGCCAACAGGGCTGATGTTCAGCCGGGGTTGCGGGGTAAGCGTAATGAGGCACCGTGACCTCGGCCCAGAGCAGGAGAAGGAACGGGGGGTTTTTAGTCAGTAAGAGTCTGACACTCACTCTCCTCTTACCCTGGGCGAGAGAAGTCATTGGATGATTTTCCCCTGACAAAAAAAAAGTCTTATTGTTCGTATGTTGTTGACATACGAGCAAAGCCTAAGCTTCCTCTTTACATCGTTATTCATAATAATAAATAAAACAAGGTGTCAGTATCACTTTTCAAAAACTCTTGAACCAAGTTGTATTAAAATTTTCATTGAAAATGTAAGAGCATTCTCTTTGCCAGCGTTTTTCAAAGTTTCTTAGAGTTAAAGTTTGCAAAAGCAAGCAATAAGTAAGGACTCAGAGAATGTCAAATGTTTTTAAGGTATTAAACAATACATCTATATTGGGTTGTATATACCTAGTCTAGTATGTATATTCGACCTATTTCGCTAATTGACTGCACGGTTGGCGCGGTGCCTAGACAACCAGCCACTATGCAACGTGCAGCGAGTTCGGTTCCCGCACGGAACCACTTATTGTGTGATCCATAAATTTTTGTACTGGGTCTGTGTGAGATTTTTTGAGATTTTTTCTGATTGTAAAATCAACCATGAGACAGGAGATTAGCTTAGACTGCAAGGTGGTGACGTGGTCACACAAAGTATTATACTAAAAAAATAATATAAAAGTATTATAACAGGTTCTTAATAATATTCAAGCAAACAATTCATTAATATTGGTACAAAAATAGAAAATATACACCTACTTGACAGTCAATGTCAAAAAATAAGCACATCTTTTCGCTAAGTTTAAAAAAATGGAAAGGTTTGAGCACCTCTGACTTTAAGCCACTGAAAGTTTTATAGCCATACTTTACAATAGCGGATCTTATCTGAACTGGCTTTATAATGGGATTGTAACCTTTTATTGCCTAAATTGGATCCAAAATATATCTAGAAGTGATTTAGGTTTAATTTTACGACTTTGAAATAGAATTCAGGTTACAATTTGTAGGTAATAATGAATTATTATGAAGATTGTAATACATTTTATTCATTACTTTTAGTATTTATAAATTATGGAAATAGAAAATGGTGAATGAATTGCCTGTGCTAATATTTTTTCTTATTATTTGTAGGGTAATCATTGTGTTGCAATTTATAATTTTTAAGGTCGCGCAGCCATCTTAACGACTCGTACGCTGCTCACGAATAGGATTTCCTTTCGCTGTGACTTGATTTTATCAGAGCTTGTCTCTGTTAATAATTCATGTGATAAGGTATTATCAATAAATTTGGAAGGTCTCATGATAGGTTACTCTTCAAAAATGATGACGATGTGATGATGTCACATGATACATTTTAAATCAATAGAATAAAAATGAAAAATAAACGTGCCAACGTTTTTTATTTAATTAAAAATGTATGTAATCTAGTAGACACACGTTAAAGAATATTTAGCATTCCTATTTTAATGTCGAAAATCTACAGAAGAAAAAAATATGTAGGAGGAAATAGAATCTGAAAATAATTTTAAGTTCATGAGTATAAAAGTAAGGGGCAAATTGATTTTCTCTTGATCTTGATCTACCGACAGTTTTGATTCTTGCAATTTATAGTACTCAGGAGACCACGACAAAAGAAAAAGATAGGAAATATTTTTATTGCTTGTTGAACTGTTTGAGGTATTTTTTTATTTTCCTGCCCTGATATTATTATAATAGATTGAAATTTTCATTTATAATATTAAATAAATGAAATTTGATCTAAAAAAATGACGTTTATACGTTAAAAACACGAACACGTCATGAATTTTAATTAATGAACCTTTTCTTTTAGTTTTAGCAACTAGATGACGAGACATGCAAATTGAAGAATATTGAAGGAAATAATTGTTAAACGTTACTTGAGGTTGCTTTTCCTAAAGTTCAGTTAAAAATCCAGTTAGCACCTGGAACGTGCTTCCCAAATGCAAACTGGATTTTTTATTTTTAGAAAACTATTTGTGCTATTATGAAGGACAACTTCGATATTACAAATTCAAAAAATAAACTTATATAAAAAAAACTTTATTAAAAGAAAATTAACGAAACCGTATATTGAATAAAAACAATCATCCGGATCGATGTACACCTTTCTTTATTATTTACCATTCTGTAACTCACTCTCACAAAAACTCACACATTCTTACAGTACTCCTCACTCACTCACACACATTCATACACACCACAACTTAAGCTCATAATCACTTCTAACGCGGAATTAATTAATTATTATATAGTTTAGTTTGTAATTAAAAATTTTATTTTTAAAGAATTGTATTATTGAAAGCAGCGAGACAACTCCATAATAAGTATTATTATTTACTTACTGAAATCACCTCATAAATATATGATATAGTAACTGTAACAATTCAAAATACAGGAAACCCATTTTTTATGTCCTCACAGAAAACCGGCGTGAAACAACCACAGCGTTGTGTTTCGCCGTGTGAGTGAGGTTACCGGAGGCCCAATCCTTCCCCTTCCCGGACCCTTCCCAATCCCTAAATCTCCAAATCCCTAATCCCTACCATCAGGTAATCCGTCTGCTCGTTTGCCGATTATTCAATAAAAAAAAAATGTTCAAATTCAACAAATTATTACACAAACGCCACTTACCTTAGAGTTAGTGCGTTAGGAGCTGCTAGGGTGAGTTTCAGGGGTCTTAGCCTTGCTCTCCTCGTTTCAGCAGCTATGCTAGGTGGAGTCTGAGTGGCCACATCCCGACCTCTTCTTGGACCTGAGGATCCTGTACCTCCACAGCCATTCATATAGGATAACTGAGGGTGGGAGACGCTCATACCCACTTTGTTGCGTTGTGACCTGTGAAGAGGGAATAGAGTTGATTGCTTTTTGCATTTTGTAGATTTAATTGATGTTCCGATTGATTTTTTTTATAGGAATAGGTCGTAAAACGGGCATGTGGAATACCTGATGGTAAGCAATTGCTGCCGCTTATGGACACTCGTAATACGAAAGAAGAGATGACAGCGTTTTCGTCCCACCACCCGGTACAAAAAATCATTTGATAATTTTTCGATATTAAAACAAAGCAGTACAAAATATTACTTTTGTTTGTAACGCCATTTATTACTTTTGTTTGTAACAATATTCTTAATTTTTTTTTTCAATCAACTTATTAAATTCACGTGTTGAAAAAGCAAAATAATTGTAATGCGCTTTCAATGACACGTGTTGGTTTATCAAATGTCGTATTGCGAAGAAAATTCATTAATCAGGCGAATCCACTTGTAATTAATGAGGATTAAAGATGAGTGTCAGGTTTTTGCTCTAATCAATGTAATGATTATTTTGAATAGTAAAGTTTTTCTCACGTTCATTACGATTGAGTAATCTATTAATAGAATGTGTGACTTAATCTTCACAATTGTTGTTGTTGAAAAAAATCAGAGATATATAAGATATCTTTTCTCAAATATAAAGCGTTTGTTTAAAACTACTGTCATATCGCCTTGAGTAATATGGTGATTAATGCTCAAACCTTGCGTATGAGAAGAACCCTGGGCTCAGCAGTGGGTAGTTATTAATGCAGATGGTTATAACTAATTTGAACTTTTAATTTTTTTTGTAATTCATTTCGAACTTAACCATAGTATTATTAATGTCTTGAACAAGAAACTGAAACTGAAACGCAAAAATGACCTTATGACACTTCGATTAGCAAATCTATTAATCGTTAAAAAAATTTCATTTCTTATAAACAAGATCTCCATTTTTGCTTAACAGGACATCCCAATGAACGACCTCATCTGACCCTTTGAGTTTATTTGATTGAATTTACTATGAAACGGATCTTGGTTTTGTACGTTATTTAGATCAAACGCCAGGGAAAAGGGTCACTTGTTATTCATAAAAATGAGGAGACAAGTGTATGTGGGTAATGTAGTTTTTTGCTGCCGGACAAAAGTAGTTTTTTACTAAAGTATTGGAACTTGGAAATAGAAATACATTTTTATTTATATCAAGCAGTGTATTTTGACAGTGGCCGTGGTGGCCCGGAGTTTGAGTGTGGGATCGAGCAAATATAATTTCTATGATTGATCCACCACTGAAATACGGTGAAGGAAAACACCGTGACGAAACCTGAACTTATAATTTCTAATTATAAGTTTGAAATCGTCATTCCGCCTTGAGCAAGCGTGGTGAATAATGATCAAACCTTCTCCGTGTGAAAAGAGGCCTTTGCTCAGCAGTGGGCCCTTATGGGCTGATGATGTAATTTTGACAAATATATTATGCATACATAAATTCATTTGAGGTTATGGTATGACTGTCTGGAAGTAAAGTGACATAATTGACAAATTAATAACTTTAAAAGTTTTTGAGGTGGGACATCCATCAATTTGCTTCTCTGAGAAGGAGTAACAGACTCATACTGACTAAATACCACTCCATTCCTTCTTCTGCTCCTCATCCAGTATTACATAGTACATTTCCTTTTATCATGAGAATGAATATGCAAATGAAATATACATGACGAGAAATTGATAGTAATATTTTTTTTAATATCGTATTTGTATAGTTTATATTGGCTTTGTGACAAATATCTACCTGGTAGCACTTGTTATCCTCCACGTGAGCTGCCTGGTCACTGTTCTGTTAGGAGACAGGTCTGGTGAGCTCCTTACTCCGACTCTCCGCATGCCTTGACTAGGACCATTGTCGTAGCCACCACATTGTCTGTGAGCAAAACAACAACAGTTGGTTGTACTTCATAAATATATAAATTATAATGAAACACGAAACATAACACATATTTTATAAGGTACCGCAGAATGTTATTGTAAGTGTGGGAAAGCTGAGAGAGAGTATGCTTCAGGATGGTTGGTCAGCTAGGCCGGAGCAATACCACGGTATCGTAGAAAACTAGCATGACACAACTATAGTGTTGTGTGAGTTTACCGGAGGCCAATTTTTTCTCCTCTCTGTATCCCTCTCCAGTCATTAAATGCCCGTAACCCCTTATCGCAATAAGGCCGGCAACTAATTCGCAACTCATCTAGTATTGAGGGTGTACATGAGCGGCTTCGATTGCTTACCACCAAGTAAACCATTAGTAACCAAAAAAAAATTATTTTCTCTATTACTTGGTGCCAAATTTCTTCCTTAGCAAAATGTAAAAAACGTCGTAGGCAGGTTTATTACAATTGCTTGTAATTTCACCTTTGTTCATCTCTTTTTTTTATTCCATTTCTGATCTGAGGATGGTACTTGTAACTCTTTATTTAGAAATACTGATCGCAATATCTCGACTAGCAAGGCGTTGGAACATTAGCAGATGTTATAACTCATAAACAGAGTAAATTTGAAATAACTCCATTAGTCAATTCAATGCCAAGCAAACAACGATAAACAAATACAACACTTTGATCCAATAATTCTATTGGCCAATAAATAACTAACACATAACAGAACCTCTTAAATTAGATCAGGAATTCCCGCCCGCACATAACATATGACTATCCGAAGACATTCGTAACGCATCGTAAAATACCACAATAATGCAAGATCTGGTACTAAAATCCACGTCTCCTAATCTACGCATTTATTGGCTGGAAATTACGGCCAACTATAGCCAATATTGGAAGAAATAAAACAATAGGAACGGTTTTAGTTGCAATGACCAACCTCATTTTGTCCAATATTGGGGAAAATGTTCTGTTGTTTCATTTTGAAAAAGGTTTATAAATTAATAAATAGAGCAAATATTAAGAAAATGGTTTTATGTGATTTCCAATTATTGGAGTTAACCTTCCCTAATGAGAATCCCCGTGAGATGCTAGGTCTTCGTCGATTGAAAGCGATCTGCATCTCTTATAAACTGTTTCTTATTTTAAAAAAAATATATATAAAATACTTATAAAAATAAAAAGATTGAGATAGCCATGCTTTGGCATTAATGGACCGGTTTGACTGGTGTGATACAACATATTATGTCCATAGGCGGCGCCACTTGCCTAACCATTGGGCGAAGTCTCTGACAGCTTTACAACCTAACTCTTAAAAAAAAGAATCCAATAGTACTCTTTGAAGGATTAAACCCCGATCTATAGTTATAAAAAGTCGTGTACACAAATCAGTGGACCAACGACACAAATATCCAAATATCCAATATTGGCTATATTAGATATACAACGTGAGCTTGAACAAACAATTACACTAAAGCTTTTACTGCCGATTATATTGTTGCCGATATTTCATGTATCGATATTTACTGGCAACATTTGGCCAGTTTTATGACAGCAATTTGTTATGATCTTGTTTACAGTCATGTCTGGGGATTTGAAGTGATACAGCGGCCTTAGAGATAACCAGTGGGAAGCAACGCTTTGTACTTGGCCGTGTGAGTAAGGTTATCGAGGGCACAATCAACCGTTCGTCCCCAAAACAAATTTTAAATTCCAAACCTCCAAAAGCGTAACATCGCCCTTGCAGATCTGCGTGTGGTGATGGTCACGTTTGCTTATCATCAGTAAATCAGGCTGTTTGTTTGCCGTCATGTATCACAATGCTAAGCATATCCCCAAATCTGGTGATAAGTGTACAGTTCAAACAATTTGGCATGTTTAAATCTGCACCCTCATATACGCGAAGTGCCTTAACCTACGGACGACTAGGACTTACCTGAATACCATAAACGAACCTTACATCTCGATTATCATATATTTTGTAAACGAGCACCTTCAAAATCGATTCGACTATGATAAAACTATCGAACTACTTCTGGGTAATCCGCACTTTGAACTTTATATCATCGTATGTACCGGTCTCTCGATACGGATCTTGCTCATTGGCTTGGAAGATTACCTATAGGTTCAATCCCATCCATTTTTTAGTTAAAGGATAAGATTTTCTTATTGGATGCTAAATAAAAGGTGTTATCTAGAACAGATTGTGTTGTCGATCGAGAGGTCGCGAGCTCGGCTATAAAGCAGTGGGTCTTGGATACAATTACAATCATTATCATTAGTCTATAAGAGCCCACTGCTGAGCATAGGCCTATGCTCATATGGAGATGATTTAAGCATTAATCACAACGCTTGTTCACGATAGATTAGCGGGTATATTTTTTTAATAAAGTTATTAGTTTTCCTCGTAAAGAAGGAGACGACCGCGTGACTAACCTGTCCTCTGCCTCACGCTCCAGCCGCCACATTAGGCTACACTTCAGGCGTCGAGGATCGAGAGGTGATCTCCAGCCATCCTACGCGAGGATTTGCAGACGGCGAGTAAGGGTAGCTCGCCACCTGAACAAAACCAGACCCAAGCGTACGGCACGGAGCGTTCCACGCGCACCTCATAGAGCCAATAGACCACCACACAGACGGGGCCCTATAGGATTGATGCTTAGCTGGGGTCTCGGGTCAAGTACAGTAAGGCAGCGTGGCATCGGCCAGGATCAGGAAAGACGAAGGAAGACGGCGTCCCAGTTCCTCTCACTCCGCACCATGGCCGTCGAGGCCTAGGCCGGGCGCTAAAGGTTGCCGCCGCCGATGACTTCTCTGAGGATACGGCGGTGCTCAGCCCAGGCAGGGCATACCGCCAACGTATGCTCCACCGTATCCTCTAGCTGGTCCTCGCAATGACGACACTCGGGCGTTTCAGAAACAGGAACCTACCGAAGCTGCCGTGCCCGGTAAGGACCTGCGTCAGGCGGAAGGTGAGGACCCCGTGGCGTCTCTCAAGCCACTCCTCAAAGAGGGGTCTTACCGCTGCTATAATAGCGTGCCCGGCCCTCGGTTGCGACAGTCGTTGTTTCCACTCTGCCATGAGATCTCGCCGGAGCTCATTCCGCCACGCACTAATTTGGCGCGGCAGAGGGTCCTCGCCCCGGCGACGCGCTCTGCGCGCAAACTGTAGACGCGCGCGAGCGCCTTCGCTTCCAGATCCCATGGCGGTGATCCGGCAAGGAGGTTCGCCGCCTCCTTAACCCTCTGGGAATCGACCAGCGTACGAGCCGGCCGCCGCTTCAAGTCGGGCGCCCACACAGGGGCACCGTAGAGGGCCATGGATTACACAATCCCCATATGCGACCTCCGGCAGGCGGCGTTTGGGAAGGAGCCGCTTGAGCGCGGCCCCAGTCCGTTCCAACTTAGGAGCCAAACGACGATACCCTGGACGTGGTAAGTGGAATTTATAGTTGGGAATGTGTAATATGTATTGGCAATTCTTATCATTAATTCGGAACTTAGAATTTATGATTTGGAAGAATATTTTTTAAATTCCCATTTCCATATTATTACTTACATAACATTGAAAAATCCAAATTTGTGTCGTGGAACAGCTACTTCCTTAAGATATAAATCTTTGCAATGTAAATGCAGTGAGTTTAGATTTAAGCTACTTTATGCTTTAAATGTACGAATATATTTTTACTTGGATTTCGTATTTAAAGTATGTGACTAAGAATGATGGGAGGAATGAATTTTACTTAGATCTGATTGCAAACTTTTAGTTCCACTGAAAGTTGTAGCTCAGCCGAATGGAAAAAGTAAGGAATGTGAATTTGTTTTTGGATTTATGATTTGACCCAGTTGACGCGTTGGCTCGGCAGCTACCAAAGTGTCGCGCGTTTGATTCCCGCACGAAAAAAATATTTTTTTGTTCCACAAATTGTTATTCTGGGTTTAGATGTTTTGTATACCTATATGAAATAGTATGTTTATAAATAACACCAACGACAGAAGAGATGCATGATTTAAATAAAAAATATCATTAGTGAAACGAAACAAAAAGTATTCAAAATTGATCCAAATCTAATAAGATTATAAAAAGGCACTATTTCGAAATATCTATAAATTAAACGTCCTATATATGTCTATTTTATTAAGACAAAACTTTTGCTCCCCTTCCATAATGACCTTAATGACACAACTAATTTTAATTCACTATAGCTACGGAACTTATTAATCAATTAGCAATCTTTAGTCTTAACAGACTAAGTTCAAATTTACACAGCTAGTCTCAGTGTCGTCACGTGAGGAAGAAAATTGAATTAGTGATTTTATGTTAATGTAGGAATGATACTGCAAACGGATTAAGTATGGTTTATGCCGGCAGTTTGGCTGCCATTACCATTTGTTAGTGTTCTTTGTTTGAAGAGATACGGGGTAAAAATTTGAGGGAGGTTGTTTTAACAATATTTGATCACGAAACTTTTTCATCGACGGTATGAAGGCTGTACCGAAAATCTATTGGGTCTGTCTTGAAAGTCTGTATGCTTTCAAACATAAATTTGAATAAGTGTAGCTACGAAAAAGCATTGGTCTGCTAACATGTTGTGCATGGCTCGATTCATGTGATGAAATATAGGACTGGTAAAGTTTTAGGAATATCCTCATACCTTATTTCTCATCGCTTTCTCCTGGACCAAATTCGATAAAGGTAAACGTCATTCCATTGTCCATGATACTGTAAATCATCAAGTAGTTATGCTATTCACATTAATTGTTTTGTTTAATATCCGCAGCAGAAATAAGTTCTACATTTTGGTCACGATTAAAAAAAAACCCTCGTGACATTTTGTTTTTGTGTGTGTAACTGGGCTGAAGTTTACCCGGGGTTGCGTGTCTAAGCGCAAATAGTGTACGATGGTCTCAGCGTCGAGCAGTAGAAGGAAGGGGGGATTTTTAGCCAGTAAGACTTTGACAGTCCTTTTTGCTCCATCCGGGGCGAACGAG